GGGAGCCCGATGCGGGACTCGATCCCAGGACTCCAGGATCATGACCTGAGCCGAAGGCAGTCGCTTAACCAACTGAGCCACCCAGGCGCCCTGGACTGATGTTCTTAGTTATGAATTTTATACTCTCTGGATTATAAAGGCTGATAGTGTGAATGCTTAGATCTTTTTATCTAAGAAGTGCAGTCTTTTCTGAGTACAAATTAAGTAAAATTAAGACTTTTTCATTTGATTATGCTGAAGTCTAAGTTACTTTGTGTAACATTAATGCCTGCCAACACTCACCTTTGTAAGAGAATTACCATTAAGTGTAGCATTAGTTTCAATTATGCAGTTTTTTAAACATTTTTATATTCTTCAATTTTTTTTAAGATTTTTTAAAATTTAATTTAGAGAGCGAGTGTGAGGGAGAGAGCACAGAGCCCACCACAGGGGTTGATCCCAGGACACCAAGATCATGACATGAGTAGGATGCTTAACCAACTAAGCCACCCAGGCGCCCCTCTTTAATGTTTTTAAAATAAAATGATTGTCTTGATATTATAAATTTTGTGGTTGCCTCCTTACTCTAACATTCTTAGAAATCATTGCCAGTGACCTTTTTAAACGATTAATTGTCCTTGAAACAAAATAGTAATTTCTTTATTCTAGTGTCATTCTAGTCTTTTGAATTAGTTTCCTATTTTAACAGTTCTGCTTAGGAGTTTTTGGAAAGAATTTAAAAATGGACCTGGGGCGCCCGGGTGGCTCAGTCATTAAGCGTCTGTCTTCGGCTCAGGTCATGATCCCAGGGTCCTGGGTTTGAGCCCCGCATCAGGCTCTCTGCTCCGCACGAAGCCTGCTTCTCCCTCTCCTCTCCCACTCCCCCTGCTTGTGTTCCGTCTCTTGCTGTGTGTCTTTCTCTGTTAAATAAATAAATGAAATCTTTAAAAAAGTTTTTAAAAATGGACTCAAAGTCATTTTGTATTTTGCAGATAGGTGTAAAATATGGGGTGTTTTTTCTGCTGCTTTAATTTACAATAAAGCGTCCAAGCTGCACTTATCAGACCTCAACTACTTGGAACACCAGAAAAGAGGAGAATTTTTAAAAGACTATAGGCAAAAAATTGATGTCCGAAAGTCCACATTCTAAACCTATTCTAAAAACTTTATTTACCAGAAAACCTCTTCAGTTTTCAGAGCCTGAAATAGGTTTAAGAAAGTTGGCTGGTATTTTCAGCTACTTAGCACGTTAGAAGCAGCAAGGATATGTGTACATTTATAGCAGTAAAAGGTAACATTTAATAGGGAAGAGAGAGGAAAGATCATTAAAAGCCAGTACTGTGACTTGAGAGCATAAGCGTCTAGGCAAACTTAACATCCGTAGCATAAAGAAATGATTATACGATGAGGAATGTGTGTGTAGTTTCTATATGCATCCATCCATAATTAGGATACTTAATCATTAATACAAGATTATATGTAGTATTATAGTATAACTTGTTGAAGATAGTATTCTTTAAAAACAGTTCACTTTTTTTTAAGTGTTTACTTATCTAAAGATTTACTTGTGGGATGGACCCCTTCATTTTCCTTGGCCTGATATTTGAGATATATAAAACTTCACATAATTTTAAGATAATGGGAATATACAACTTAAATTTGGCTTTTGTGTTTCTTCAACAGACAGCTGGAAATGATCCATACTGTTTTGTGGAGTTTTATGAGCATCGTCATGCAGCTGCAGCACTAGCTGCTATGAATGGGCGGAAGATAATGGGTAAGGTAAGCTGTCATATTTAAAGAAGGTGACTTGAAATTTTTAAGTTGTATACAATTTTGTTTACTATTTATTTATTTATTGAGAGTACACACAAGCAGGGGTGGCGGGGAGGGCAGAGGGAGAGAATCCCAAGCAGGCTCCACGCTCAGTGCAGAGCCCAACATGATCTCACGACCCTGAGATCATGACCTGAGCCAAAATCAAGAGTCGGACACTTAACCAACTGAGCCACCCAGACGCCCCCAATTTGATTACCTTTTAGAAGCATTATATCACTTTATAGCAGAAGGTCACATTTAATATTTAAAAGATGGAATAAAGCTTTTTAGAGGGCATGTTTATGTTGGTATTCTTCAGGATGCCTCACACATGGTAAATACTAAAATATTTGTTGAATTACTCAAGCTTGGATGAAACCTCTAGAACTTTGGGTACTAATGGGGAAGAATAAAAAGAAAAATGATTTTTACTTTAGATAAGAAAGGTTAGTTGAATGTTAACAGAGAAGTATGATTAGGATTTGCCAACATTTGAGAAAGTGTAGGTTAATCTAAAGGAAAAAAAAAAAGAAACCTTAAAAAAAAAGTGTATGGGGCACCTGGGTGCCTCAGTCATTAAGCGTCTGCCTTCGGCTCAGGTCATGATCCCAGGGTTCTGGGATCGAGCCCTGTATCGGCAGGGAGCCTGCTTCTCCCTCTCCCACTCCCCCTGCTTGTGTTTCCTCTCTTGCTCTCTCTTTCTGTGTCAAATAAATAAAATCTTAAAAAAAAAAAAAAAGTGTAGGTTAAAAGATAAGTATTGAAACTTTGACCAGAACTGTTATCCTCTTGAATGTTTCATCTCCAGCATATGCCTTCCTGTGTGTTTATAGATGCAAATCTTGTAATATCTGATTTTGAACTTTATTTTTATGGAGTATAAATGTAGAAACATTTTTTTAGGAAGTCAAAGTGAATTGGGCAACAACCCCCAGCAGTCAAAAGAAAGATACAAGCAGTAAGTATATTTTATACTCTTTGAACATTTGTTTTTATTGTACACAGTAGTTTTATTGTAAAGCATATAAACATCGTACATGTTTGCAGTAATGTTTTGATCGTTATCCTAAGATATGATTGAATGTGTTTGTGTTAATAAATTTAAGAACAAATCTAATCTTTGTCATCAGGTAGTACCGTTGTCAGCACACAGCGTTCACAAGGTAATTGTATCTTCTTAAACATAAAATGAAATCTCTTGAAAGGGTATTCACTAACCACTTGAAGTTTTTTTGTTTGATATTGGGGGGAGGTGGGAGGGAGGGGGTCGTATTTCTATTTGTCTCTCTGGCAATATTTTTCCCCCTTCTTCCCAGTGTTGACCAAATGTGGCTTGTCCACTACTTTGGTGCTATTTCAAGCTCTCTGACCCCCTTGGTAGCAGCTGATGCCTTTGAAATACTTTCACCAACTAAAGGGCAAGATACCCTGCTTCCTTGAGGTCACGATCTGTGCTTCAAACCAGATCTTCTGTGCTTGAGTTGCTCCTGAAACTCTGTTTCCCAAATGGCAACCCAATATGTTGCTTAAGGCCTGCCAAATGGGGGTAACTTTTCTTTCCAAATATACTTTGTCAAAGTTGATGTATCTGTTCCTTTTAAAGTGTTGATCCAACTATTTTGTATTTTTAAAGTGTTTCTTTTTTTGAACATTGTCTTTTTAAAAAAAAAAAACTTCACATATGGGATCGTTATTTCTCTCCAATGCTTTTTTAATGGCTCTGATATAAAGTGAAGGGATTACTGTTTTCATTCTGTTGCCTTCAGTCTTAGTTCACTTGCACATGGATTCACATAAACTGAATGGTGTAATGTCTGGGCAACCAAAACTGTTGGCTTTTGAGAAAACTGTCAAATACTTTAACATCAAACTGTTGCAATGCAAGGTATTTCTTTGATTGTTCTTCACAAAATATGGTTAAACCAAGTATATCATGTAGCTAGCTTCAGTCAGTTGTCTTAACCGAGGCAAATTTAGTCTACATAACTCAAGAGTACCACTATTTTATTTTAATTTTAAAACCTTAATGTAGTGGTAAACTGGATAAATGTAAATAATCACTATTAGAATGGTAATTAAGTCATTATTTTTTTTGCAAAGCTTGTTAAATATTATTTATTTTCTTAGACCAGTATAATTGGCTGTAAATAGAAATATAACTGTCAGTTTCCAGTTAGATATATCAGTCTTTAAGAGAATCTTTCCTATATTATCACCTTCGTTCATTATGTGTAAAATTGATAGGATCTGTATAGATATAGGATAGTGTTTTATACTTAATCCATAAATTAAGATTATTTTATTGAATAGATTTTAGTATATTTTAAATTCTAAAATTTTATTTTTCTTTTCACTCCCCCTTCCTTCCCCTTATAAGATCATTTCCATGTCTTTGTTGGTGATCTCAGTCCAGAAATTACAACTGAAGATATAAAAGCTGCTTTTGCACCATTTGGAAGAATATCGTAAGTTAACAGAAGATAAATTTAAACTGATTTTAATTAGAAACAGGCTTATGTAGAAGTAATTTGAAAATCTGCTATGAATTTTAACCTTTCAATATAATTCATTATGTTGTTTAGAGACTATTTAAGCCATTAACAGCCAAAGATTGTTTTCCCATTGATAAATCTTTGGTCTTCAATTATTTTAAAATCCTTTTTCAGTTAGCATTAGCTCCTAAGAGACAAATTTGCTGTTGTACATATTTCTTATGTAAGTGTCTTGCTTAGCTTGGTCATAATCTTTAGTAACCTTTTGCTGTGACTAAGAAATTTAGACCCTTGGGGCACTTCCATGATACCATGCATTTTGTGTTAATATATTTTAACAAAAAGAAACCTTAACAATTCAACCTAAAAAGCAGTTGTTAAATATTAATCCCCAGGTATCTACCCTTTTGTTGTTGTTACTGTTAATAATAATGCCTTTTAGTATTTTGTGGAGCACTGTCTTGCTTGCATTTGTTATTAATCATATAGTTTAGGCCCTTTGGAAGTAGCTCGCTCAAGGTAGTGTTCATCATAAAAGAACTTTAATATTTTGAAAAGCATGCCATAATAGAATAAGAATAAGTTGATTATAGTATTTTCTTAGAAGTACTTGTTGAATTTAGAAAACAGAATTTTTGGGTTTCTGGTTGCTTTTTTATTGTTGTTCCAGCTAGAAGAGTAGTAAAAAGGAAACTTTAGCTTTGGTTTGGTTTGAGGAACAGAACAACAGCAGAGATGAGAAGGTGAGGAGACTGGAAAGTAAATGCCAGTAGTATTGGTGGTAAATTTGGGGAGTTTTTATTTGAAGAGTTGTAGTTCATTGGTAGGAGAACGAAAATGAACCGTGACCAAGGAATGGCCCTAATAGAGGCCAACTTTAAAGGCAGTCAAAAGATTAGGGTTTATAAATGGACTTTCTTTTTGGGCAACATTTTTCTTTTTGAGAACCAATTAGGAAAATAAAGTTCTAGTTTCTTGATTGTTCCTTTAATCTGTCTTAGGGTTTTGATGATGGTTAGCTTGCTTTCAAATACCTAGATGGGAAGGTGTTAACCTTTGGCCTCTCAAAAGCTCTATAAATCTCTGTGTACAGAATTTTGTGTTTGTTTTCATTTTGGTGTGGAGTATCTTTGTAAGTTTTATCCTATTTTCAGAGTAGTCACAGGACCCTAAAAGGATTAAAGAAGGATAAAAGAACCCTGATCTAGATCTTTGCTGCTTCTTCCTTAGAGAATCCTTTCAGAAATAAGTAAGACTTAAATATATTTCAAGGCTAACATATCCTGAAACTTAACTTTAAGAAGGAAAAAATTTTCTAACATTTTAACAGATTCAATAGCTATTTTATTAAATGCTTTGATTTTGATTGAAGTAGCTTTTCTGAAAACATGGGGATTTTAGTTTGGGATTAGATAAAGATTGTTTAACAATCAGTGAGTTTAAGTTAAATGACATTCCAGTTTTAATAATGACTGTTTAATCGTGGATCAGTAAGTTCTTTTTGTTAAATATGTTGGTATCATAATTATAGCCTAGATTTTTCTTATGATCAACCATGATTATAGATGTATATATATATTTTTTGGTAAGGCCTTTATAATTTATGGATTATAATTTTCAGTGGAGGTAATGTACAATGTCTAAGTTTTAGGCTACCCAAGGAGTTAGTGTTTCTAAATTTAAAAGGACGATTTTCAGTTGGTAGCATCATTTCCTGGTTTTTTTGTTAAAGGAGATAAATGGATCAATATATATTGAAAGGTTCTCTTGATAGCCAGTTATTCTCTGTAGAGATCCTCCAACAGTACTTAATTTATAGATGGTGTGCAGTAAGTGGTGGCCTATTAAAATATTTAGTAGAAAAGATATAGTACTTTCCTACCCTAATTTATACAGTTTTTACTCTATTCCTTGAGTTTAGGGTAGTCTAACAAATTTTGGTATAGAAGTGAAGCAGCTACCAAATTAAATGCATGTGTACCATACCGATAATTTAATAAGTATTTTTTCGTATTGAGAAGTGACTTGCATTAGTTTTCCCTTTTCACCACCACCTCTTTGTCATTTTGACCCTAAACACTTAATAAATCACTCCTAAATTGATCGAAATATGCTTATGTATACTTTAATATAAAATTATATTGCATGGCTTTCTGACTTGGGTTTTTGTTGTGAAAGTGCCTGTTTTGTTCATGTGTCCTGAGAGAACAAGCATTGTGACATACCTGGCTAACTTAAAAGCAGATTGCCTGTGAAGCACAATTTGAGTCCAATTTTTTGAGGTATGGAGTTTTAGCTATCATGGCTGGGTTTTTTTACTCAATCTCAAATAATAGGGCTCTGGTTATTTTGCAGAGTATCTCTGAAGAATGGACAGAATTGCCCTGGCTAACTACAAGCTACGGTTCACAGTGGATAAATGTTGGCGTGCTTTTTTACTTTCTGACTTTTTAAAATTTTGCTTTTATATCTTGTAGTTTCCAATCAATCTTATATGATTGCTATTTTAAAATTCAGTATAAAATCTTTTCTTATATAGTTTAAAACTAAAGTGTGTGTCTAGTGTTTTTCTTCAATTATTTAGCATTTCTGAAAACATCAAGTTCTCAATTTACCCATAGTCCAAAAGGGGGGTGTCGATTGATCTGAGAAAACAAAATAATTAATTTAGGAAATATACAGCTTTTCATTCTTTTAGTTTCCAGTTTTCTATTTTAATTTTTTTAATGATTAGGTAGTATATGGTGTCAAATAGAAAATTATCAGTTGCATGGTTAAAGAAAGCCATTCATCTAATGTGCCTGTGAACCCTTTAAATGGTTAAGTAATTTCATATGAATAGCTGCTTTTACCATGCTTAATATTTAAAAGTTTAAAAACTTTTGGAAATGGGAGGCAATTTTTGTACAATATATACATATATATTTAAGAAGTTATTGATTTGCATGTTTATTATGCCTCATTTGCTAATACATGATAAATTTTATAGAATAAAAGGTGAATATGCATTAAAGGTTCATTTTAATGAAGATGAAACATAAAAATGAGTTGTGTGTGACATTCTCACTTGATATCCAGAGGAGAGTTTGCAAACCTAAACTTCTGATTATATCTGATTTCAGAGATGCCAGAGTGGTAAAAGACATGGCAACAGGAAAGTCTAAAGGATATGGCTTTGTCTCCTTTTTCAACAAATGGGTGAGCTCAATTAAAAAGTGCATGTGTGGTGCTTTGAGAGTAAAGACTAAAGATACTCATTTTGGGGTGCCTGGGTGGCTCAGTTGGTTAAGCGACTGCCTTCAGCTCAGGTCATGATCTCAGGTTCCTGGGATCGAGTCCCGCATCGGGCTCCCTGCTCAGCAGGGAGTCTGCTTCTCCCTCTGACCCTCCCCCCTCTCATGTTCTATCTCATTCTCTCTCTCAAATAAATAAAATCTTAAAAATAAAAATATAAAAAAATACTCATTTTGTTTTAATAATTATCTTTCATCTGCCACTTGCTCATTTCACTGATAACACCTTCGCAAGAGGATATCTTTTTTCTCCCCTTTGGTCATTTCTTCAGCATTTATTTAGCACCTGATGCATGCAAAGTACTGATAAAATGTTTTCAGAACATAGAAAGTAGAGATGTTTAAATTATCAGCCAAAGGTAGATACTGAAAATCTCATTTATGTATTTAATTCATTATCTCTCTGTTTATATTCTCATGACAGTTTAAAAGTAATAATGTTTTCTATTTGCTTCATATATATGAATATGTATAGCTATTATTAGTTAACATGCTATTTTACTAAATTTTCTTACTCGTAGTAATTTTCCATTGGTTCTTGTGAATTTTTAAAATACAAAATCATATTACCTGCAAATACATGTATTTTACCTGAAAAAGAAAGTGATAGGGCACCTGGCTGGCTCAGTCCGTGGAGCATGAGACTCTTAACCTCAGGATCATGAGTTCGAGCCCCATGTTGGGTACAGAAATTACTAAAAAAATAAATAATCTTAAAAAAAAATAAAAACAATAAAATGCTCCATTGGGTGGGGATTTTTTAGAAGTTATATACTAATGTATTTGAAAATGTCTTCTCATTTCTTTCATTTAACAATCATTTATTGAATACCACTTTGCATGGACTTGAAATTTCTGTGTTTTGCAGAGAAAAGGAAGGATAGTACAGTTTGTCAAATGAGAGGTGAGAGTAGGGTATATACAGAAGGAAAAGCTTCATCTTCAGTATGTCAGCGGGATGAACTCTTTGGCATATCCTCCATACAACGTAATCATGTACTGTTGTTTTAAAAAATAAATATATACCATAGAAATCTTTCCATAGCCAGTACTTATGGAAAAATAAAAGGAGTCTATAAATACTGATTATAGAAATATTTCTGTGGTAAATTAACTGAAAAGGCTCATTTGTGTAAAAAAGGGAGGTGTATTTTTTGGGTATGTGTGTTCCTCTCACAGGGATAAACAAAAAACTTGCTGTAGAGTTTCCTGTTTGGGAGTTGGAAGTGAGAGGCAAATGGACAGAGTGGGAAGCTTCTCACAGTATTGTGCTCTTTGAAGTTTGAACTTTATAAATGTATTAAAAGTTCAAATAAATGATTTACCTCTTTTAGTGTGATAACTAAGGTTCAAAACAGTTAAATGTCAGGGATGCCACACTTCAAAAATACAGGGGTGAACGTGGGAGAATATATATATGCCTTGGAATATATACTAAGATCCTGTTAACCTTAGATTTTAGTGTATTGCTTCTGTGTTAGGACTGTCATTTGCCAAAGATAAGTTATAGAAACACTACTGTAGTTTGTAAGAATACCTTAGGGGGTAAAAAAAGAATGCCTTAAAAAATGAGCCATTAGGAGAACCTGACTGGCTCAGGATTTGAGTTCAAACCCCATGTTAGGCATAGAGAAATTTTTTAAGGAAAAGAAAGTTTAAAGAAAATGAGCTATTAAAAGTTTTTGGTAGTATCGGGGCGCCTGGGTGGCTCAGTTGTTGGGTGTCTGCCTTAGGTTCAGGTCGTGATCCCAGGGTCCTGGAATCGAGTCCCACATCAGGCTTCTTGCTCGGCGGGGAGTCTGCTTCTCCCTCTCCTACTCCCCCTGCTTGTGTTCACCCCCACCCCCCATCAAATAAATAAATAAAATCTTTAAAGAAAAAAGTTTTTGGTAGTATGAAATGTATTTTAGAAAGGTTTTCTTTAATAAACAATGTATTTGAAATAGATACTGTATCCTTTCTTCATGGCTTTAGGTGAAGTTTATGACCAGTTTATGTGCCAGTTCCTTCTGACTTTTTAAAAAATATATGTTTGCAGTTAACACCAAATATTATCACTTTTTTTTCTAGTTCCTGTGTCTGCTTACATTGGAACTGTCTGGTTATTCCTCATATGAACTCTTACTATCCAGATATTTGCTATAAACGCTTGCAACCATTTTGCCCAAAATTTATTTTCCAAATAAGAAATTTGCCTTAAAAATGTTTACATGGCGGGCGCCTGGGTGGCTCAGTCGTTAGGTGTCTGCCTTCGGCTTGATCCCAGGGTCCTGGGATCAAGTCCCACATCGGGCTCCCTGCTCGGCGGGAAGTCTGCTTCTCCCTCTTCCACTCCCCCTGCTTGTGTTCCTGCTCTTGCTGTCTCTCTCTCTGTCAAATAAATGAATAAAATCTTTAAAAAAAAAAAATGTTTACATGGCTTGCAAGTTTGGGTAAGAGAATGTAGAGTGCACTGCAGTTATATCTTAGCCGTTCACATAGTAATATGGTATCTTGGGATCTAATTGTTTATTTTGTTGTTTATTTATTTATTTGAGAGAGCATGGATGGAGGGGAAGGGCAGAGAGAGAGAGGGAGAAGCAGACTCCCCGCTGAGCAAGGAGCCTGACTTGGGGCTCAATCCCAGGACCCTGAGATCATGACCTGAGCTGAAGTCAGACACTTGACTGACTGAGCCACCCAGGCGCCCTGGGATCTAATTGTTTAAATGTGTTGTACATGGGCACCTCCCTAAACCATTCTCTTCCTAGTGCTAAGAATGGCCTTGTTAAAACATAAATCAGATCATGATAATCTCTTACTTAAAATCTTTTAGTTTTTTCCTCTGGCACCCTTTTTAGCTCACTAGATTCCACTGAAACTAGTTGTCTTTAACATGGCCTTTTTTTTTTTTTTTTTTAAGATTTTATATATTATTTGAGAGAGCACGAACACGCACAAGCAAGGTGAGGGGCAGAGGGAGAAGCAGGCTCCCCACTGAGCAGGGAGCCCGATACAGGGCTTGATCCCGGGACTCTGGGATTTTACCTGAGCTGAAGGCAGACCATTAACTGACTGAGCCACCGAGGTGCCCCTACATGCTTTTTTCAGATACATACCAAACTCTTTCCTGCTGGAACACACTTCGAAATGCTTTTCTCTCCACAAGGGCTTTCTTCCCTGGAGTTTTGACTTGGCTAGCTCCTGTTCCTCTCAGTTTCAGCATACATATATTTTAGAGAGACCTTAATCGTGCTGTCTGAGGTAGATCCCAAAGCCTATATTCTGTAAGTCATCCTTTTGTGTTTTTTAATTTAATTTAATTTTTTTTTTAAAGATTTTGTTTATTCATTTGACACAGAGGGAGAGCACAGGTAGGCAGAGTGGCAGGCAGAGGGAGAGGGAGAAACAGGCTCCTTACTGAGCAGGGAGCCCAACACGGGACTCGATCCCAGAACCCCGGGATTGTGACCGGAGCCGAAGGCAGACACTTAACCAACTGAGCCACGCAGGCGCCCCCCTTTTGTGTTTTTTTTAATCTTTTTTTTTTTAATGTATTTGAGAGAGAGTGCACAAGCAGGGGGATTGGTTGGCAGACACGGGGCTCCATCCCAGGACCCTGGGATCATGACCTGAGCCAAAGGCAGATGCTTAACCTACTGAGCCAGCCAGGTCCCCCTATCCTTTTACTTCTGTCATGGCATTTACCACAATTTGTGATAAGTTTGTGGCCCCAAAAGAATGTCAGCTCTGTGGCAGCAGAGACCATGTCTGTCTCATTAACCGGTGAATCCCTAGCACTTAATCTGCTGCCTAGAACATTGTAGCTATTCACTGTTTACTTGTTGGATGAATGAGAAACCAAATATTGTCACAAGTTTGTTGGACTGTGTAAAGTGAGATTTTCATCCATAATAGTCTGAGTTATTACATGAATAATAGCTATCTCATAAGGGCTTTGGGGCTCTGAACTTTTTCAGGTAATTAACATTCCCAAAGTCTGATACCCAAATAAAAGAAAGATAATTTAAAAGCACCATTGCATTTTAGGAAACATATTGTGTATTGTGTATTTTATAAAGCATTTTCATTCAGTAGACATTTGTGAAAAGCAACTGAATTTTCTCTACTGCTAATGGTCTTAACACCAACTAATGGTGGCTTCTTTGTCATTTCTAATGTTGTGCGGAACAGGATGCTGAAAACGCCATTCAACAGATGGGTGGCCAGTGGCTTGGTGGAAGACAAATCAGAACTAACTGGGCAACCCGAAAGCCTCCAGCTCCAAAGAGTACATATGAGTGTAGGTGTATTGGAGAAGAAAAGGAAATGTGGAATTTTGGAGAAAAATACACTAGATTTTAAATGTTAGAGCTGTTCCCGGAGACTTATTGCAGAAATAGATGAGAAGCAAATCAAGACTACTGTTCAAAATGTACTTAGTTTTCATTTTTGTAATTTTAAATAATAAATGATACTGTCTTTAATGTCAAGTCTCCTATTAAATAGAGAATATTGAGTAATTTTTTTAGACCTTCTTGGGGGAGGTTTAATTCTCAATCAAATGTATTATTTATTATGTAAGCATTTTAGTCAAGGTAAAAATTACCATTACACTAGCGTAGTTGATACTGCTTTTCTCTTTCTGAACATTTTATTTAATGAATTTAAAATATTAAACTTTTCCCTCCCCAGCAAACACCAAACAGCTATCATATGATGAGGTTGTAAATCAGTCTAGTCCAAGCAACTGTACTGTATACTGTGGAGGTGTCACTTCTGGGCTGACAGGTATGGGAGCCTTACCTGTGTGGCATTTTGAGGTTAATTTTTTAACTGAAAAGCTTAATGTCTGTAGGATTTTATATAACTTGGTGTGGTTTATTTTTGTCTTTTATCTAACAGAACAACTAATGCGTCAGACTTTTTCACCATTTGGGCAAATAATGGAAATTCGAGTCTTTCCAGATAAAGGATATTCATTTGTTCGGTATGGGTGGTTTTTTTTTAAAACACTTTTTCCCCAAAAATCATTTTGAGTATTTAATTTAGTAGTTTTCTTAAAAAGGTACCTTGGTTGTAAAGAAATAGAAATTTCTCTAGCATTTAGCAGTATTTGCCACTGTGTTTTAATGGCTCCCTCCTTATAACCACAAGATCACTAAAACATTCTCTGTTAAAAGAAGTTTCTTCAGAACTACAAGATTTTGGGGAAAATATGCCAAAGAAAATATACCATCTTACTCTTTTGTGTGAAGTGCCTCTTATACCTCAGGCTCAGCTTGATTTTTAAAAATAGGTTTTATTCATAAGTACCTTAAACAGTTTATATTGGTGATTCTTAATACTCTTTTGAATAGGTTCAATTCCCATGAAAGTGCAGCACATGCAATCGTTTCTGTTAATGGAACTACCATTGAAGGTCATGTCGTGAAATGCTATTGGGGCAAAGAAACTCTTGATATGATAAATCCTGTGCAACAGGTGAGAGGATTCTTGACTTTGTAGAGTAATTGCTGGGCTAATAATAGGTTATTTTAAAATGAAATTATTGATAATCCTTGTTAATAGTTTCTAGCTAAAATGATAATATATAAGGGCTCTGTATGTATGTATTATAGTTCTAGAGTGGTAGTTTACCTAACAGGGTGTTCAGGCTTTTTTCTTAACACTTGATAGATTTATTCACATACTATTTGGAGAACTCACAAGCATGTTTGACTCAGTTTAAACAAAAGCTGTAAATATATTTAGAGCCTTGGCATTTTTCCTAGATTTTGCTGCTTACGTTTTTCCAGGAAGCTTTAGTGGTTCAAATGTGATCCCATAAAGATTTCTGTGAGGGGGGTGCCTGGGGTGGCTCAGTCAGTTAAGCGTCTGACTCTTGATTTTGGTTCAGGTCATGATCTCAGGATCATGAAATCAAGACCCACATCAGCTCTGTGCTGTGCATGGAGCCTGCTTAATATCCCCTGTCTTGCATGCTCTTGCGCTCTCTCTCTTAAAAAAAAAGTTTTCTGTGAACAAATTATAAATGGAGCACCAAGAAGGGAATAAGAAAATCCTAAACTATATAAGCTATATAGGTTTCTTAGGTAAACTGAATACAGGAATAAGTAATCTTTTCTATTTTCCCTATCTAGTTTAATTTACAAAACACTTAAACATTGTACTGAGTTTGATATTTATTACTGGGGCATTACCTACTGCCTTACAAAGAGTGTGCCATTTAGAGCATGAGGAAGAGTTAGAGCAGTATAACCGCACTCTTTTTTTTTTTTTAACTCATTTATCTTATAAACTCTTGTTTATCCTTTTATTTTAATTGCAGTGATGGCCCTATGTGTTATGGCTATATATTTGTGGTACATTAGGACTGAATGTGTACACATAACTTCAAATAATACTAAATTACTTGTTATAATTTTACTTAATAGCAGAATCAAATTGGATATCCACAAGCTTATGGCCAGTGGGGCCAGTGGTATGGAAATGCACAACAAATTGGGCAGTATATGCCTAATGGTTGGCAGGTACCTGCATATGGAATGTATGGCCAGGCATGGAATCAGCAGGGATTTAAGTAAGCATACTTTCTTTTCTCCTTTATTATTAGCCTTTGAAAAAGTTAAGAACTGGGCGCCTGGGTGGCTCAGTCGTTAAGCATCTGCCTTCGGCTCGGGTCATGATCCCGGGGTCCTGGGATCGAGTCCCACATCGGGCTCCCTGCTCAGCGGGAAGCCTGCTTCTCCCTCTCCTGCTCCCCCTGCTTGTGTTCCTGTTCTCGCTGTCTGTCTCTCTGTCAAATAAATAAAATCTTTAAAAAAAAAACAAAAAGAAAGAAAAAGTTAAGAACTTCAGAAGAGATTTTAAGTAATTAGTAGGTAATGTGGTCCTCTGTCTAAAGCAAGTTTTAGCCTTTGAAGGACTTAGTTTAGAGCTGTTTTTAATTTATAGTTTTAAGTGTATTTCTTTAAAAATTTGTCTGGAAATGTGCTGCTCTGAGGCATAACCAGTGTTAAAAGAATTTTGGTAATGCTTGGTAATGAATCAACTAATATTTGAGTAAGACAATAAAAGCTTAATAATTGCTAAGCTTTTTATTTGAGAAATGATCATTTAGCCATTCTTGGATGCAGTTATTTTGATGCTAATTGTTTTATTCATTATGCTTTTTTTTTTCTGCGCTATAGGGTTTATCACACATTGTTATATGGATGCATCTTTGTACACCTTGAATTATGAAATTTCACTTAAATTTTTGAAAAAGAAACTAAAAATACTTTGCAGTTTTTATTTTAAAAGAATCTTGTATTTGTGGGATGCCTGGCTGGCTCAGCCATTAGAGCATGAGACTTTTGATTTTGGGGTTGTAAGTTTGCACCCCGTGTTGGATGTACAGTTTACTTAAAAATAAAATCTTTTAAAAAATAAAAGAACCTTATATTTGTAATGCTGAAAAATATTATGAGCTTACATATGCTAATAATTTTTAATTTTTTCTTTTGAGTAATATAAGTGGTAGTCTCTATTGTGCCAAATGATCGAGTTTCTTTCAGGTAGTGGTTTGTTCAATTTATGTCTAGCCCAGATGCACAGTTTTCCTTTCTGAGATTAGAAATGGCTTTTTTCTGAATTCAAAGGAGAGAAATGTTTACAGGTAAAGGGTATTTTTTTTTTTAGCTATATTAAACTAACAAAATTAAATTGCACAAATTAAACACTATGAGGATGCTTGTTTTTAAGAGAAAAAACTTGCCTTTGCTTTCCCTGGCATAACCATTATTCTTATATTTGGACTTAAGTAAAAGTATTTTATCCATGTATATGTTATTTTTTCTTGGCATTACATTTTATTTTAACCAGTGGATTTCCCCTCCTCTCTGCTTCTTTCACATTTTCTACCAGTCAGACACAGTCTTCTGCACCGTGGATGGGACCAAATTACGGAGTACAGCCACCTCCAGGACAGAATGGCAGCATGTTGCCTAATCAGCCTGCAGGGTATCGAGTGGCAGGGTATGAAACCCAGTGAAAAAGGACTCCATAATCTAAAGCCAGTGGCTTGAGGCTACAGGGAGTGTAGTAAAGCCGTTGTTTACTTAAAGATTTATCAAATCAGTCAGTGCAAATGTCAGATACAATGTATTTATTTAAAAGATTCATTTTTTAATCATGAAATTACTTATCATCCACATTGTTTTAAAAAGAAACAAGATGCTGGATGTCTGCCAATTTTTGCCTTCATTACCTTTTTTGATAAAGTTTCTCAGATCCTTGTTTCAAATACAAATGCAGGGATTGCTGCCACTTTTTTAAAATTAAGAGGCAGAAAATTGCACAATGTTGAACTTTTTTCCACTAAAGTAGTGTGCAGTTCTAGTTTGCATTCCTGATATGATTTAAAACATGTAATATAAAGATGTTAAAAATGAAGAACCAAAACTGTGCAAAGTCTAGAAGTTCTTTGTAATCTTCAGCTTGCGCACAATTCTGTTTTAGGGTTTTTTGTTTTTTTTTTAAAGCATTGTTTGAACTGTCCCATCTCCACTGTTTCCCTTTGGGGTTTTAAAATATAAATTATTAGTTTACATCATTTTTGTAACTACATTTTTCACAAATTTGTCTTGCCTTATTAAATTTCTGTAAAATATACCTAAATGGGGGAAAAATGATGTTCACTTAGATTGAAAACTTTTCTCAGATGGATTGATAATTGCATTCATTTTGTGTTTTATATGAGAAGGTGCCTCAAGAATTCCCTCTTGGATTTGTTTAAAGGATTTTTATCTTCTGTGATAAACTTTGCTGTGTACCAGGAAATACAAAAACAAAAACTTGCTACTAAAGAAAATCTCTGAAATGTGAGACATTCTTATGAGCCCGTGTTAATTTCATGTGTCAACTTCTACATTTACGTGTATTGTTTCATTCTGTAAAATGTTTTAGCAATTTAATATTTTGCACAGTTAGCAAGCTTTGTATGTCATTTCCTTCTTAAAGGCATCATGCAGAGTTGACAGGAGATTTCTAAGGTTTTAAGTTGTTTGCATGTGAATATCAAATACACACTTTGGTAGTCTTTGAATACAAAGTCATCTGCTCTTGTTTTTCAAGAATTTTGAGACAGAAAGTTGTATGTAAAGGAACATATTAATTTGCCATTTTCTAGTTATATTTACTCAAGAGTAAATCAACTTAATTTTAATACGTACAAATGATAGCTGTGAAACTGTATAATATCCTATATCAGGCTTGGAGTTCGTTGTGAACTTCAAAATTAGCCTGAAGGACCAGCCGGGCAAAGCATTTTTTAAATGTTCAGAGGCCAAAAGATAAAACAAAACAAAAAAACCTTAAAATCCTACCTCCTTAAACAGCCTTCAAAGAGGAGAATCCTCAGTGCAATCATTATTTTGATTCTTTTGGTACCTGTTTTCCTGGAGTTCCCAATTTTATTATTTTGGGGTGGCTCCGAGCATTAGGTTTAATCTTTGATGGCATTGTTCTAGTTTTGAAATTTCTAGTACATTTCAGAGTCTCTTAGAAGAGTTGTGGGAGATTTTGTTTTGTTTTCAGTGAAAGTCACAAACTTTCTTCTTCCTTTACTCACAAAGGGGAAGAGTCCCCCAGTATACATATTTGGACGGTTTGTTGTTTTTAAGACCTTCAGAGAGCTCCTAGCATTTAGCAACAGAAAAGGCCTGTGAAATCTTAAGTTTCCTGGCCTTGTCTCTTCCAGGTAGGAGCAAATTAAGCTGGTCTCTAAAGCCAATATTCATGTAAACCAGAGCCCAGGAAAGACAGCTCATAAGTGTTTAATTCTCTGGAGCTCAATTCTATGCAGTTGTACTGATGTTTCATTACGTACGTCACTGTGTATTTTTAAGTGTTGTTACATTAAAAGTTGCTTTATGGAAGATGAGTAAATTTTTTAAATACTTGGGAATTTTATTTCCATGTTAACGTCTACAGATCAGGACATGCGACCAGAAGCAGCTTAAATGAAATACTCAAAAAGTAAAATATCAGGAAGCTATTTTTAGATTCTTCTGGTTTATGTTTCTATTTTAGGACCCTTATTATTTTTCTTACTCAAAAATATTTTATTTCCTGTACATCTGTGGACTGCAGGGTAAATTATTTGGGCATAAGTAATTTAAGCAAAAGTATAGTTTTTCTTTCATTTTGACTTTCTCAAGTAACACTTTTTATTAGTATATTTTCTTATTGCACAAATCTTAAAGTGTACATTAACTACTTTTTGAGAAGAAAGCGGTATTTCTCAAAAAAGTTACTACTGAACAAATTGACGTTTCAGGAACATTGATAACTTTTGTTTAAATCTTACTCCTAGTGTTAAAATCATTAAAAGATTTTTTAGTCTAAAAATAATACTGGTATTAGTATCAGGTAGGGAAATTAAAGTTTTAAAAACAGTTTCATTCTCTGCAATATGCATTCAGATTTTACTATAAAATACATCTGGTACTGTAAAGAACCTGAAGTGATTCACACTTAATGGGTCGTTAATCCAGTATTCTTTGCCCTGTTTGGATATTAAAGTTCCTTTATGTTTTCTATAACCTGTGGGATCTTCTTGCAGTGATTATTGTGTGTGAAAGATTTTTCTTTTTGGTCTAACCATATTGTTATATTCACGCAGGTATTTTTTTTTTTAACCTTATTCCAGAAACCATGGTTTGCATTGGATTACTATTTAATACCACAAAGAATTGGCATTCTGTAGATTTAACTCATTATAAAACCAGGATCTCATTTTCCTTGTTGATACTATCTCCCTGTTGAAAATTAGTTCCACATTGTAGTTTTATTTTCCTGGTTTGTCCCTGTGCTTGCTTGTCTTCCTTTTTTATGTGTGTTAGAGTTCAGTTGACATTTGAGAAGGCAGTTGGTAGGGACTAGATTATATATACAAAGAGAGTTAGGTTTGCTGTGGGGTGCTCTTGAGGTTGGAAATTGGAAAGTAAAGTGTGTTTGTAGGAATTAAAAAGCAAACCCTTTAGAGGCACCTGGCTGGCTGAGTTGGTAGAAAACATCCAACACTTGATCGTGGGGTTGTGAGCTCAAGTCCCACGTTGGGTGTAGAGACTACTTTAAAACAAACAAAAAACCTCTTTCAATGAAAGATAGTTCTAAAGACAAAAATCATTTTTTTGTAGGAGGTTTTTCCATTTTTTCCTGTCACTTCAGTTTTGACTGTTGTGTTTAGAACTGCAAGAACCTACCTTCAAAACAACACATTTTATTTTATTTTATTTTTAAAGATTTTATTTGTCAGAGAGAGAGAAAGCACGAGCAGGGGGAGTGGCAGGCAGAGGGAGAAGCAGGCTTCCTGCTGAGCAAGGAGCCCGATGCGGGACTCGATCCCCGGACCCTGTGATCATGACCTGAGCTGAAGGCAGACGTTTAACCAACTGAGCCACCCAGGCATCCCAAAAACAACACATTTTAATTTAGGAGCTTTAATAAAATATATGAATGTGTCTAACTTGAATAGGATTTTGTATTATGGCCTCTGAGGTGGGAAGCAGCTGAAGTTCTGACGGTAATTCAACTAAAAAAGGAAAAAGTAGACATCCGTCTCAGGATTACTAGGCTAGGAATAGGGATATAGTACAATTTTACTAATACCAGGGAAATTAGATTCCTAGCTCCTTATCCTTGTTCAGCTCTAGAATTTGGAGGATGCTTACATGGAAAAAATAAACAACTTTTGAAAGAAAAGACAGATGCTGACATTTGAGGGTCCCCACCAAAAAGCCAGCTGGCCACCAATCCCCTTACAGTGGAGAATGCCAATCAGTAAGCCCTGCCCATGTACACAAGTCTTCCAAACAGGTGTTCAGTGCTTCACTTTTAAATAAAGACAGCTAAAGATCACCAGAAATTGGGCACCTGGGTGGCTCAGTCGATTAAGCGTCTTCCTTCGGCTCAGGTCATGATCCCAGGGTCCTGGGATCAAGCCCCACATCGGGCTCCCTGCTCAGTGGGAACCTTGCTTCTCCCTCTGCCCCTCCCCCTGCTCATGCTTTCTCTCTCAAATAAAATCTTTAAAAAGAAAATCACCAGAAATTGAGGATAATTGTGAAAGATATAAACAAAAAGCAATTCTCAAGAATCCAGCAAACTAAGAATTATAATATCCTCAGATACAAGAAGATACTGTAAGAAATTAGAACAGGATACTAATAAAATGTTAGAAGAAATTAAAATATGAATACATTTAGTGAGAATATTAAAAGACAAGGAAGTGTTCTAGAACAGAAATCAAAAGTGGAGGGGGAAAATAAATAGGAATAAATTCAGGAGGTTTAAATACAACCAATAGGAGTTCCAGGAAGAGAATGGAGAAAATAAAGCAGTGGTTGAAATTTATTAGAAAATAAAATTTCCTTGATAAACTTGAGTCTCAAGATTGAAAAAAAGCTATTATTAGCACAATAAATATTAAAGACCCATGGGAAAGCACATCACCATGAAATTTTAGGACACCAGACATAAAGAGAATAAAATTTACCAGAGAGGAAAAAGAATTGAGAGTAATACTCAACAGCAACACTAGAAACTAGGGATCGGTGCATGGGGTAGTGTCTTCAAAAGTTTGAATTATATATCCAATGATATTTTATACACACACATGCACTGCCATGGGTGAGCATTGAATAAAGACATTTTTGGACGTGCAACTTTAAAGATTCTCTTCCCTGGGCGCCTGGGTGGCTCAGTTGGTTAAGCGACTGCCTTCGGCTCCAGGTCATGATCCTGGAGTCCTGGGATCGAGTCCCACATCGGGCACCCGGCTCAGCGGGGAGCCTGCTTCTCCCTCTGACCTTCTCCCCTTTCATGCTGTTTCTCTCTCTCTCTCTCTCAAATAAATAATAAATAAAATCTAAAAAAAAAAAAAAAAAAGATTCTCTTCCCTGAATTCACTGGTTCTCAGTTACTGGATAAGCTCCATAAAAATGAGAGCAAATCAAAAAATGTGTGTAGAAATGGGGTCCAACATGGGAGTCCTGGATAACAGTTGTGAAGCAACTTGGCAGTCAGTCTAGATTGAGGGTCAGAGGGCTCAATTTGATCATCTGACAGGTTGGGCTATGTAGATAAATACAGAATGAGCCAATTTACAGGAGGGCAGAAGATGTAAGAAGACTTTAATGTTGGAAGAAAATCAGGCAAGTGAGAAGAGGCAATTGTTGGGAAAAACATCCTAACGAAAAGGAAATATTCCCTTCCTGGGCCAAGTACATGTACTAAGGTATTTAAGAAGTTTTCTTGAATTACAGTCGTAAATATTTGTAGTATTCCCCTGCTTAGAATATTGTTGGATTTCTTCTGCCTATCATGTTTCTATCATTTGTTCTTAGTTCTTTTTATCTTTTTGTTTGCTTTTCTCATTTCTAATCTCTGTTCCATAACATGCTTCCTATGGTTTCCAGACTCACTTGTGCTCCTTTTAGTCTTTTTTTTTCTAAGATTTATTTCGTTCAGGGGCGCGTGGGTGGCTCAGTTGGTTAAATGGCTGCCTTCAGCTCAGGTCATGGTTCCAGCCGGGGTCCTGGGATCGAGCCCTGCATCGGGCTCCCTGCTTGGCGGGAAGCCTGCTTCTCCCTCTCCCACTCCCCCTGCTTGTGTTCCCTTTCTTGCTGTCTTTCTCTGTCAAATAAATAAAATCTTAAAAAAAAAATTTATTTATTTTAGAGATCGAGTGAATGAATGAGGGGAGGGGCAGAGGGAGAGAGTCCACAAGCAGACTCCCCACTGAGCATGGACCCTGATGTGGGGCTCCATCTCAGACCCTGAGACCATGACTTGAGCAGAAACCAAGAGTCCCCTGCTCAACTGACTGGGCCACCCAGGTGTCCCTAGTCTTCATTCATGAAATGGTTTTGTCATTTTCTGTTTCCTAAGTTAATACCAATTTCTGTTTCATTTCAGGGACATATCTTCCCTGAGTTCTTGTATTTTTTTTTTAATTTTAATTCCAGTAGAGTTGGCATAGAGTGTTATATTAGTTTTAGGTGTACAATATAGTGATTCAACAGTTCTATGCATTACTAAGTGCTGATCAAGGTAAGTTACTCTTAATCCCCATCACCTGTTTCACCCATCAACCCACCCACCTCCCCTCTGGCAACAATCAGTTTGTTCTCTATAGTTAAGAGTTTTTTTGGTTTGTCTCTTTTTTTCTTCATTTTTTTGTTTCTTAAATTCCACATATAAGTGAAATCACACATAAGTCAAATCATTTGTCTCTGACTTTTTTCACATAGTATTATACCCCAGATCCATCCATGTTGCAAGTGGCAATATTTTATTCATTTTCATGGCTGAGTAATATTCGTGTGTGTGTGTGTGTGTGGTATCCATGTATTGATGGGCACTTAGGCTGCTGCTGCTGTGTGTGTGTGTGTATGTATGTATGTGGTATCCATTCATCTATTGATGGGCACTTAGGCTGCTGCGGTAATTTGGCTATTGTAGTTAATGCTGCAGTAAACCTAGGAGGGCATATATATTTTTTTAATTAACGTTTCTATATTCTTTGGGAAAATAGTAGTGGGATTACTGGATCATACGGTAGTTCTATTTTTAATTTTTTGAGGAACCTCCATACTGTTTTCCACAGTGGCTGCACCAGTTTGCATTCCCACCAGCAGCGCATGAAGATTCCTTTTTCTCCGCCTTCTCACCAACCCTTGTTTCCTGTGTTTTTTTATTTTCACCATCCTGAATTCTTGTATTTCTTAGCTGCATTTGCTTCATTAGGTTTGTTTGATTCACATTAGAATGTTGGTATATTATCTGCAGCTGCTTTGTGGGAACATTTTTCTTGGGTGTTTTCTTCAGGGAAACTCGAGGTAAGTTTTGCTATTTCATATTTTTATAGAGTATCTGCACAAGTGTGTTAATTCCTTTCTATTTATTTGTATTTGAAACCGTTAGGAGAATGAAGGAGAGGAACCCCATCCAGTTTTCTCACCTCCCTCCTCTGG